GCTGCAGCTGGAGCCACAGATTTAGTGAAAGGTGGCAGGCTGAGGACGGTAATTATAATTAGCGGTTACATAACATGTTTGTTCTTCAAAGTGCTCTACAAGGATCAGCTAATTAATAGCTTACTATGCCCCATGCAGATCCCCTGGTTTTTCATGTACTCACTAATCATTGTGCTCCCCACTGACTTCTGAATGGTGACAGCAGAGGACCTTGAGCAAATGGCTAAGGGGCCAAAGCTCTATCCAGATCTCTTACCAAGTGAGTTCTTAAGGAACCATTCCAGGAGGGCAGCCTCACTTCCTCCAAATACATCTTGGAGGTACTGGCAGAAATGCAGAGTAGCCATCAGTATAGTCCAGTATGGCCTCTGCTCTTCTCAGTTTTCTTTATCTGGGCTCTGGAGTCCTTGGTGGACACTATGGGTTTTCCTTTGCTTCTCTGTAATCAATTTCTGGATTCCCTCCCTCCCTCCTTCTCTCCGTCACTTCCTTTGTTCATTCCTCCCTCCCTCCCTCTCTTCCTTCCTTCCTCTCTCCTTCCCCCTTCCTTCCTCACCTCCTTCCTCTATCCCTCCTTTCCGCCCTCCCTCCCTTCCTCCCTTTCTGCCTTTCCTCCTCCTCCTCCTCCTTCTTCTTCTTCCTCTCTCTCTCTCTCTCTCTCTCTCTCTCTCTCTCTCTGGCCTACATCTTTCACATTTATGATGGAAATAGATGAATGTAAGAATTTTCTATCTACTCCAAAGATTCCTTACTCAAGGACTTCAGAAATCTATGATGCTTTGGATTTCTTTACAAAACATTATAAGCACATGTGTATATGTATTTGTTTGGGGAAAGGGCTGAATCCCCTACTGCACTGTAAATTCCAAAAGGGTAGAGCCTCACAAAGTACCTCATTCATACTGCATACTAAATAGATGTTTATTGAATGGATGGATAGATGGGTATATATCATCAAATTTTTATCCAACAAAGTTGGGACAATGGCTCAGTCAGTAAAGTGTGTGCCACACAAGCATGAGGACCTGAGTTCAATCCCTAGAACCCACATAAAAAAGCAAGACATGGGAGGATAAGACAGGGAGAGAAAGAGGAGACATAAATAGTACCTAGCTAGTATAAAAAACCAGAGGAAATGGTATTAGCCCAAAAATCTACTGAAAAATTATACATACAATATCCCTATGAGTCCATGTGTATAGCTGAAGATGACATAACAAGAAACAGTGCCAGACTGGAGAATCCTTCCTTTGAGTTGTTGGCCAGGATAGTCCAAGAGACTCTCAAAATTACACAGGCTATTGCCACAGTCCTTGATTACCTCCCAAAACTTGATGGTAAGACCCTATTCCCGAAGACAGGACATACTTTGGACACAGGATTTGGAGCAATGGAGCTGGGACTGACCTGAAAGCCATCTCCCCTGAAGGCTAGCAATCATAGCTTTGAAGAGCACTACACAAGTGGGTAAGGGAGAACATCAATCGATGGTCCAACCCCAGCTTCAAGGCCTAAAAACCACATTAATGACCAGCATAGCAAATGACATTGGTGCAGTGGTGGCACTTTTATCTTGGGGGTAATCAACAGCTACCAAACTGGACCTAAAGCTCACTCAATGGGAGGAAACTCATGTCTGGTACTGTAAACCTAGCCAAATACACATAGCTGGAAATGTCATAGATCTTAGAGGAAACCCAAGGCTCTCATATCCCTAGACAAATGTAATTTCTTACTATATGCAAAATATGGATCCTTAAATTTACTGAAATGTATCTCAGTCACCACCCATCAAAGTAGCTTCTTTTTCAACAGAGACATTATTACATAGAACCCACATAAAAAATGGTCACTATGGGTTTTCCCTTTGCTTCTCTGTGATCAATTTCTGGATTCCCTCCTTCCCTCCCTCTCTCTCGCTCTGTCACTTCCTCCATCACTGGTCACAGACAGAGATTCTCTGTGAATTTCCCAAGCCTACGTGGCACATTTAGGATGCAGCCTCTATACCTAAGACTCACAGAACATGGAACAAGTATGAAGAGAACACTAATGTATCTTCCAATTCTCATCACTGAAGCTCCCTCAGGCAACAGAGGGCCAAGAACACAAAAGGCCACAAATGGCCAAAACACAGAGAATAAGAATCAACAGAGTGTGGGTCCTTGGACAGGACTTCTATATTGAGGTCCACTCACCCACTGCTCAGGGACCATTTCAGAAGAGGGGGCGGAAAGATCATAAGAGCCAGGGAGGAGGTGTGTGACCATACAGAAACAGTCCTACAGGTGCCTGAAACCCTTCTCATACAAACCTACAGCAAATGGTATCAGCATGCTCAAGACCCATGCAAACTTAGGCAGACAAAAACCCAGCACACAACTGCGGAAATGAACAGCAAGCCCCAATCTTAGTCGAAGAATTAGTGGCAGCTGATTACTGCTGGGTAAGGAAGAGCTGATCTTCTTAAAGAAAGAGATTCTAGATAGGCTGACTAAACCCCAGTAGGTGAACTTGTACTGAGGGACATCTCAGGACACTAACTTTACATAATAAGCCTTAATACAAATGATAGAATGTATAAACTCCAGTGGGGGGCTATGGGAGGCCATCTAAGGGAAAGGGGGAAGAGGGTATAAAGATGATTTTATGTATGAAATACACAAAAGTTCAATTAAAATTATTTTTTAAAAAAGCAAGGGGGAAGACACAGACGACCCTTCAGGCTCCCTGGCCAGCCAGCTTAGCCTAATTGTCAAGTTCCAGGATAATGAGAGATGCTGTCTCAAAAAGCCAAGGTGGGTGGATCTTGAGAAACATTATCTGAGGTCGACTTCAGGCCTCCATGCACACCTGCACACACATACACACGCATGCACCTACATACATAACATGCACTTACACGAACATACACTAAATAAATAAATAAATGATAAAAATGTTTAATGAGCTCTTTTCCTTCTTGGCTGCTCGGTGATCACCGCCATCATGAATAATACGGTGACGATCTGGACCAGGAAGTTCATGACCAACCGTCTCCTTCAGAGGAAGCAAATGGTCATCGATGTCCTTCACACTGGAGAGGCAACAATACCAAAGTCAGAAATTCGGGAAAAGCTAGCCAAAACGTACAAGGCCACACCAGACGCCATCTTCATATTTGGATTCAGAACTCACTTTGGTGGTGGCAAGACGACTGGCTTCATTGTGATTTACAACTCTTTGGATTATGCAAAGAAAAACGAGCCCAAACACAGACTTGCCAGACACGGCCTGTATGAGAAGAAAAAGACCTCCAGAAAACAGCGGAAGGAACGCAGGAACAGAATGAAGAAGGTCATGGGAACTGCAAAGGCCAACACTAGTGCTGGCAAAAAGTGAACTGGAGATTGGATAACACCAAAAGGAGTAAAAGAGTCTGCAGTGACGTGGTCTGCCATGGTGACATGTGCCCATATCTAAAGAGAGGACTGAAAAACTGTTAAAAACTTGAAAGAAAAAAAAAAATGTTTAATGAGACATATTATATACAATGGAATATTTTTCAGTCTTAAAAAGAAAGGAAACTATGGCCAGGCATGGTGGCGCACGCCTGTAGTCCCAGCACTTGGGAGGCAGAGGCAGGCGGATCTCTGTGAGTTCAAGGCCAGCCTGGTCTACATAGTGAGTTCCAGGACAGCTCGGGCTACAGGGAGACCCTGTCTCAAAAAGACCAAAAAAAAAAAAAAAAAAAAAAAAAGTCTCTTAAAAGAGAATGAATAAATTTTAAAAAAAAAAAAAAAAAAAAAAAAAAAGTCTCTTAAAAGAGAATGAATAAATTTTAAAAAAAAAAAAAAAAAAAAAAAAAAAGTCTCTTAAAAGAGAATGAATAAATTTTAAAAAAAAAAAAAAAAAAAAAAAAAAAGTCTCTTAAAAGAGAATGAATAAATTTTAAAAAAAAAAAAAAAAAAAAAAAAAAAGTCTCTTAAAAGAGAATGAATAAATTTTAAAAAAAAAAAAAAAAAAAAAAAAAAAGTCTCTTAAAAGAGAATGAATAAATTTTAAAAAAAAAAAAAAAAAAAAAAAAAAAGAGTCTCTTGAAAGAGAATGAATAAATCTTAAAAAAAAAAAAAAAAAGGAAACTAATACATGTACCTTCATAATACACTAAGTGAAATAAACCACACTCAAAAATAAAAGCACTGGGCTGGAGAGATGGCTTAGTTGTTAAGAGCATGTGCTGCTCTTGCAGAGGAGAAGATGTGGGTTTGATTCCCAACACCCACATGGCAGCTAACAACCTTTGGTAACTCCAGTTCCAGAGGAATCCAATGTCTTCTTCTGACCTCCACATGCATTGCATGACACAGGTGCACTTACATGTAAGCAGGCAATACACTCATACACATAAAATAAAAATAATAAGTAAAAATAAATAAATAAAAGTACTATATGATTCTACTTATATAAAATGCCTAAAGTAGTCAAATTTGTAACAAATAGAAAGCAGAATGACAGGGTACAGGGGGTCTACAGGGAGGAAGGAATGAGAGTTCCAGTGTTAGAAGATGAAAAGCCCTGGAAATTCATTATATAATAATGTACATAACACTAGTGAAAACTAGTTATATAATAATTTTTTTCGTTTTGACATAATTAAAGAATTAACTCCTTGCATTTTATCATCCTTTCTCTGAAAAGCTATCAGGCCAACACATGTGCCCCTTTAAGAAAATGGCTCATGGGGAAATTTTTCTCAGCTGGAGAGGAAATCAGGAAACACTGTAGTTTAGGTTTTTCAAAAGGTGGATGCATAAAATTGTCAATATAACTTATTTCCCCACTCTGCCTTCTAAATCATCAGGATTAAGCTGCTAAATCTAAAGCCAAGTGCCCACCCAGGTAAAAGGCAGAGCTAGGCACATTTCAGACAAAGGCAGCCACCTGATGGCTTTCTGCTCCACCTGCCCTCCCAGGTTTTGTTCCCAGGTAACTGGAGCCCTGCAAAATGGAATCTGTACCTGTGCATGTAAAAGTGCTTTCACTCCAGGTGCCTCTCTCTGTGCAAACAGAAATAATCTTCCCTTGGGGGCTCTCAAAACCTTCTTTACAGACATAGTGAGCCACATTACCCAGACTGGAGTTGTGGTTCCCCACCAAGATGGCATTCTCAACGTCTGGAGGGCTGCCACAGCTGATCTCTGCAACAAGAAGCAACACACTGGTGATGAGCCCTGACGTTTAACCCTACATTTAGTATCTCAGAAACAAACATTCCAAAATGACAGAGGCCATTCATCTGGCAAAAGGGAAAACACAAACGCCCTCAAACAATCCAAATGTGCATATATAATAAAATTGTTCAGAAGTATAGGAAACATAGGCCAGAATTTAATAAAATTTCTAAACACACACACAGAGAGAAAAGTCAAATTATGAGGCAGATAGCTTACTTATCAAAAGTTCCCCTGTTTTTTAATTTTTAGCTTTTTATTTTTATTTTATGTGTATGAGTGTATTTCTTGCATGTAAGTGCACCCATGTCATGCAATGCCTGCAGAGGTCAGAAAAGGGCATCAGATTCCTCTGGAACTGGAGTTAAGGGCTGTTGTTAGCTGCCATGTGAGTGCTGGGAACCAAACCTGGGTCCTCTGCAAGAGCAACTACTGCTCTTAACCACTGAGCCATCCCTCCAGCCACAAAAAATCCTCTTTTTTTTTTCTTGGTCTTCTTGAGACAGGGTCTTCCTTTAGCCTCAGCTGGTCTAGAACTCACTATGTAGGCCAGGCTGGCCTTGAACTCACAAAGATTCTCCTGCCTCTGCCTTTCAGAGTACAGGGACTAAAAGCATGTGCTACCACACCTGGTGAGTTCCTCTGTTTATAAAATAATACGTCTTAGGATTCATTTAAATACTAAAGTTATCTAGACCCTTATACTATGTACGTTTCCTCAGATCATTAACTCTTGAGTAGATAATGCAATTGTAGCAAATTCTCAAATGAATACTAAATGAAATATGTATGAAATTGCTGAAGTTCTTAAAGCAAAGTAATGAAGTAAGTGTTTATCTTTTACAAATTCAATTTATACCAGGTGTGGTGGCTCACGCCTTTAATCCCAGCACTCAGGAGGCAGAGGCAGGCCGATCTCTGTGAGTTCAAGGCCAGCCTGGTCTACATAGTGAGTTCCAGGACAGCTGGGGCTACAGGGAGACCCTGTCTCAAAAAGACCAAAAAAAGAAAAATTTCAATTTATATGCAACTCTCAAAGAAAAAAAGGTCACCTGCAAAGAGAGAGAAACCAGGAAAGATAAAACTGATAGGAAATTTCTCCTCTACAATTCTGATACTGAAAGACAGTGGGCTATTTATACACAGTTATCTGTAGAAAGATCATGACATTACCATTATAGTTCTTGTTGTTTTAATTTAGACAGGGTCTCCCATAGCCCCAGCTGGCCTGGAACTCACTATGTAGACCAGGCTGGACATTACCATTTTAAAATATTTTACTTATTATTTGTATTTTATGTGTATGTATGTATGTAAGTGCACCCATGTTATGCAATGCCCATGGAAGTCAGAAGAGGGCATCAGATCCCCTAGAACTGGGGTTACAGACAGTAGTTAACTGCTATGTGGATCCTAGGAATAGAACCTGGGCCCTCTGTAAGAGCAGGCAGTACTCTTAACGGCTGAGCATCTCTCCAGTCCCTGGACATTACAATTTTAGATCCAACAAAACTATATTCCACATAAGAACACGAGGTAGTCATTGTCAGGTACTTTTAATTTTTAAAAATTTCATGTGTACCTTTTCTGGTAAAAATTCAAAAGTAACCTAGTTTGGCAAGGAAATGAATCAGAATAAATAGTAAATGGGGAGGGGGACAAGCAGGTCTTAGGAGAAACACTGATGAACAAGGAAACTGACAAGATATACAAATAAGTCTCCACAATCATTTCGATGAGGTTGTAAAGCTTGATGTAACAATTCATCCTAAAGGCTGATTAATGTATAATTAATTAGAAATAAAATATCAATTCTTTCAATAAAACCTGAGCAGTGAGATACAGGGAAGATGGAAAGCACACTAAATTTGTCATGTGATGCAACAGGAGGAGCTTTTGGATACAGTGCTATTCAAGGAAAAATAGTAAACATAAAGTAAGAGGACTAAGGGTGTAGCTCAGCTGTTAAAGCACAAAGTTCTAAGTTCAATCTGAAGCATCATTAAACTGCATTCCTGCAGTCCCAGCACTTAGGATGTAGAGACAGGGGGATCAGAAGTTCAAGGTCAGCCCAGGTTACAATAGAACCTGTCTCAAAAGATGTATCTTTATATATGACATATATATATATATATATATATATATATATATATATAAAAGTACTAATTCCACATGTAACCAAACAGTCCTGGTTGCATCTAAAACTAGAGCGGAGAAAAACCCTTATAGTATTCATTTTGATTTTTAGTTTCCTATTTATTTTACAGAAAGCCAAAGAAAATTGGCATTTCTGATATCCACACCTTTAAAATAAAAGCTCATTGATTGAGAGAAAGCATTCAAAAGAAAGAAAATATATGTTTCCATTTCCCCATTAACCAGTTTGGCTTTAGAAACAGGCGGCTTCACAGGGCCTGGTGGTACAACCCTTTAAGCCCAGTTATCCAGAAGGCTTTGAAGTAAGAGGATTGTAAGGCCTGCCTGCCTGAGTTGCACAGTGAGTTCAAGGCCAGATTGAACAACTTTATGAAACCCTGTCACAAAATAAAAAGTAACAGGGCCTGAGGTATAGCTCAGTGGTAGAGTCTGCATAGTATGCACAAGGCCCCAGGTTCAATCCTCAGCACTACAAAAAAGATAAAGAAGTGGGAGGAAGAGAAGGAAAGGGAAGAGGAGGAGGAGGAAGAGAAGCTTATCTTAAGCCCTTGGTACAGAATTAGTGGATTTCAGAGTTGAAGAGATAGTTCGGGGGGTAAGAGTGCTGGCTGCTCTTGCAGATGACCTGGGCTTGGTTCCCAGCACCCATACGTGGGCTAACAATGGTCAGAAACCCCAGTTCCAGGGGATCCCACGACCTCTTCTGGACTCCATGGATTTGCACGCATGGGTGCACTTAATACATGTAGGCAAAACACTCATACATATAAAATAAAAATAAGCAAATTTTGCCAGGCATGGTGGCACATGCCTTTAATTCCAGCACTCGGGAGGCAGAGGCAGGCGGATCTCTGTGAGTTCAAGGCCAGCCTGGTCTACATAGTGAGTTCCAGGACAGCTGGGGCTACAGGGAGACCCTGTCTCAAAAAGACCGAAGGAAAAAAAAAAATTGTCATTTACTCTGTATTAATTTCCTGGAATCTCCCTTCTCTATATCACTGATACTTGGCCTATTGCAGGACCTAGAATTCCTTCCGTAACAGAAGCTTCCCAGATCAGGGCCTCATGCGCTGCCACTGGAGTTCTCATGAGATCTTTAATACGCCAGCCTACCTCACTAGTCTTTTGGCTGAGATTATTTCTAGTAAACAGTGACTCAAATTACAAGCAGTTATGGAACCAGAATGAGGTGGCCATTTCATAAAACCCCAACTTTTCCTACCTCAGATGCCCCATGTTCACTTACAGGGTTTTGTTCTCTTTTCAAACATGTTTATCCAACACAAGACCCTTTGGCCTTCATTTTCCCAACATCAAAGCCTGAGGCATATTTACTGGCCCGAAACATTGCAAGACAGCAGTGTTACTTGAGTGCATGTGAGCAGTCAACCAAATAAGTAACTAATGTTTTCTAAGACTGCCCAGTCATTCACATACAGAACAGCTAGTTTAAGCCAGGGTTCAGTTACAGCAGGCAGTACAGGAAACATCAGTGAGGGGCTGAAAATAGAAACATCAGTGAAGAGTTGAAGTTGAAAATAAGATTGTGTAGCTTAAAGATGGAATCCAAAGAGCTCAAGTGTCAAGGTTAGGGAAGAAACACAGCAATCAATAATCAGATACTAGGGAAACACAGATCCTAAGAGAAGAACATGGAAGCCAATTAGGCTGGCTTCCATCTTAAACATGTCCAAGAATAATGGAAGGCACAATGACTTCAGTTAGGATTGCAAGAAGGCTTTTGTGATTTGGGGTTTGTTTTTGTTTGGTCTTTTTACAACAGGGTCTCCCTGTAGCTCCAGCTGGCCTGGAACTCAATATGTAGACCAGGATGACCTAGATCTTACAGAGATCCACCTGCCTCTGCCTCCCAAGTGCTGTGATTAAAGGTGTGTCACCATGCCTGGCTGCAAGTTTTTAAATTAATAGTAAAAAATCACCAGATTGAAAAAAAAAATCACCAGATTGATGAAAAATCATTGGTCTCTCGAGGTAAAGATTCAAAGACAGTCTACCTACAGCTCCGTAAAGTCAGCTATTCAAGTTGTGCAATCCCTTGGCAGAAGATACTTAGAATTCCAGTATGACTTGGCTTAAACACATGATTCAAAACAGCTCTCCATACAAATCACCCCAGGGAGTTGGTGGAAAACTCATACAGGTTGCATGTTGTAATTTTAATGTGTAATGTCTCCCATGGGCTCACATGTTTGAAGACTTGGTCTCCAGCCAGTGATGCTGTTTTGAGAAGTTGTGGAATCTTTGGGGTGTAGGTCCAAACTGGCAGACAGAAGCCACTGGGAACAAGGGTTGAGGATACTAGCCTAGCCCTGTTTCCAGTTCCCTCTATTTCTTGGTCTACCAAAATATAAGCTGTGCCACCAGCCCCCAACTGCCATGGACAGAGCTACTAGCCACCACGCCTTTCCCACCATGAAGGACTATGTCCTCTGAACCTTGATCCAAAATAAAGCATTTCTCCCATAATTTACTTCTATCAGACACTTTGTCACAGGAATGAGAAAAGTAATTAATACAGACCATCCTACTAACAGTGGGATCATCGCTGTGATAAACTTCAACATGTGGCTCATAAACTTTCTTAATTGGCTTGCTGGAGAAACTTTGAAGAATTTGGAGCTCTGGGTTAGAGAAGTCCTAGAAAGCGGTAAGGAGAGTTTAATGGTGGAAGTTGGGAAAATCAGAATGTAGAGAAAAGTACAATAGAAGAAGGCCCAGTTCATGAGGTTTCAGAGAACAAAAATGTATTAAAATTCAGGCTAAAAGCTATTTGTATTACATTCTAGCAG